GTGGCAACATATGGGAATATGCAGCTGCTTATGTTGTTGTTAGAATGTCATAAGCAGGATACTACTCATGGTACACTTGCAGTAAAGTCTGCTGTCATTGTTACTTTTAACCACAAAATATTCGAAATCCTTTGGTAAAGGAGATATTCCAGCTGATAAATGCTTGAGGTAAGAGTAAATGGGTTTGTGTGCATTTGGAATTTACCAAAGTCGAAAACTTCAAATGGCAGATCTTGGTACAGATTTGTAAAGTTGGTTTCTTATGGTTTTGATTTTATTTCAGTTTATTTGACACTACATACTATGTGGGTTGAATCTTAGTGTCTTAATGTGGTATTAACACAAAACGTCTTACTGATGCACTTGAAGAAATTAGTAATTCTCTATGCCATATTAAAATGAATTATTTAAAAACAAACAAAAATTGGTTTTTAAAAATATAAAACTTAATATCAAAGATCTAAAGCTAAGCACTCAAAATCTTAAAGTGCATTTACATTTACTAAAAATGAGTTTGATTATAATTTATCTAATATTTTTAAATAGGTTGACTTAAGTTCTAGCTTTGTAGTTTTTAACAGTTTATCTCATGTTAGTATAATAGATTGATTGGTACCTGTCTTGGTATTGAAATCCTGTTTCTGGGTATATATGTCCGAAAATCTTCTTAGCGAAGGTTTGCAATATTGAGATCTGCGCTCAACTAAATCTTATAAATCAATAAAAATTATATATGTATCTGCACACAGGCAATAAAAATATAATATTCACTGAAGTTAATTTCAAGGGTCTTTGAGTACTACTATGACATGCTGCAACAATCGGATAATATCTTTGCCTGATACCACCAGCATAGATGATAATGACTCCGTGGTGTTTGCATTTACTATAAGATTTATTTAGTGAAATTTGCGGACAAAAATTGGATAATATGTTAGATGCAACTCTCCAGGTAAATGCTGGTTCATCCTTACAACTATGGTAAGGTACCTCTTATCAATAAAACTTACCTGAGAGCAGGTTATATGATAGGTAATGTTATTTCGTGCTAAATTTTAATAAGCCAGGATTGTCTGAGAAGATAGATTCTAGCGTAGGTGTGACGTATAAGTACATTTGCTGTGTTTTATTCCGATTTAAATTTGGGGTAGAATACTAGATCTGTGGCTTCTATTGCCATCTGTTATTAGAATACCTACAACGGGAGAGACCTTGATTTTATTTGAAAGATATAAGTGTCTTCTTTTCGGTTAGATTCGGTTTTTAGATCAAAAGATTTGTCAGAATCTTCATAGTCCACACCGATGAGTACGGTATATTTTATAAATTTTTAATTCTACTGGATTTTGTACTAAAATTTGAGAACATTGCAGGAATAATTATAGTAATAAGCAAGTCTGTGCGTTCAGTCTAGTCTTATGTTAAATATATATGTGTCTTATTCTAACACTCAAGTGGAGTGTATTGAATATATTAATGTATATATACTCAATGTATTTTATACCTTTTTTTTGTGACCAATAATATTGTATGATAATTTATGAGCGGACTAATTGGTCTTGTAAATAAAAATAAGAAAATAATTTATTACTATATTTAAAACAAATTATTTTATTAACATGTTCGGATGTATCGACTATCTTCGCTCATAAATTATTATATACTAAATGCATATATGTCTCATTCTAATACACAAGTGGAGTATGGTGGCTATGTAATATATCGTTAAGATAAACATATACAAAAAAGTTTAATGAGATAAAGAACAATAAAAAGAGTTTAGTTCAATAGGTTAATAGCTGATATTACCATGCTAACTTAACCTATCCTACACCAACATTTTTTAAGTAATACTATGGGATACTTACAGGCAACTATACATATGAACCATTCGTATGAGGGAACTGGACACTCTCTGATAGCAACATGTTTATACATAAGTGAAATATTTCGAAAATTAAAAAATAGAACAGGTATACATTTTCTCTCCAGTTTTTTCAAAAAACTTGTCAAATATTCTTTGGAACTACCACTTTTAATAGACTGAACTTCCTCTCTGATATGGAGTAAACTATTTTTTGAACTTGCTGAAACAGATATCTTGAATAATATTGTCTGTACCGTCATTGCTGTAGTTTAATAACTGTGTTGTGTGGACTTCTGAACGATACTGACTTCAATATCTCATTTGATATACTTTATTGAAGTATCTGTTATTTTAATATACATGCCATAACTACAAAAATATAAGTGCATTGATAATATTCGAATGTTGCACACATTTAATCCCGGATAAATATCATTGCATGGACATGCATTTAATGTTACTGCCCATACACTCAAGTCGTAGTACTTTTATCTAAAATGACCCATTCTCATTAAAATTATAACAAAACTTTGTAAAGCGAATTAAGTGATTTCAAATGATATTTAGCGCGCAAATAGCCCCCAACCCTGCAGATGAAATTGACTTGCCACTCCTTTGAAGTCTACTTAAGCTTTGTAAGCGGCACTTAAGTGTTTTGAAGTTAGCTTATTTTAATTAAAATGCTATTA